TATCCCCAGTAGCCCCGCTCCCCTTCCAGCTCCCTGCCTGTGGCCTGGGAAAGCAGTCGAGGATGGCCCAAAGCTTTGGGACCCTGCACCCGCGTGGGAGACCCGGAAGAGGCTCCTGGCTTCGGATCAGCATAGCATTGGCCGTTGCACTCACTTGGGGAGTGAATCGTCGGACGGAAGATTTTCCTCTCTGTCTCTCCTCTCTGTATATCCGCCTTTCAATAAAAAATTAATAAAAATAAATCTTTTAAAAAAAATGAGGAAGCACAAACAAAAAGCCAAAAAAAAAAAAAAAAAAAAAAACCAGAGAGAGAAAATGGACTTTAGAGATGGTCAGTTCCAAAGGCAGAAGTAGTAGAACTAGATTCTCCAGGATCCTCTTTTCTGCCCTCCAGAGCAGGTCAGGGCTGGGGGTGGAGGGGCACGCAGGTGGAAGAGGAGGATGGCAAACAGACTCTGCTCAGGTGCTGTGGGGTGAGGGTGTGGTGCAGTGGGAAGCAGGTGTTGCCCCCTTGGTTTGAGGGGTTTGTGGTTTGCAGCACCGGCCACCAGGGTGCACTGGGGTGGGGCTGTCCCAGCTGTCTCCATACCGACAGGTGTCCTGCGTGAGGGCAGCCAGTCCAGAGACAGGCTCCCATAGCAGCACCCGGCAGGGGGCCCTGATGGACACCTCTAAACCAACAGCGCAGTCAGAGGCCTCAGAGGGACACTCACCCAGACACATACACGAACCCCAGGCTCAGGTGTCGTAGGCGTCTTCCTGTGGAGAGACCCTCACAGGGGTCCTCAGCTTGAAGTCTTCCAAGGGAATTCTCAGAAGGAGACCCTCTTGGAGAGGCCCCTAGATTGAGACAACTCCTCTTCCCCCTTCTGCTTCTGAAAGTGCAGGGGAGTCCTGGAAAGTAACATAGGGAGTGACACTGGGTAGTGTGCTCTGGTTTTTCCAGAGCTGAGGAAAAGAGCCAGGAACTCTGCCACATTCTTGCAGTGGCCTGTGTTGACCCCTCTATCTTCCCTCAGGACTTTAGGGTTCAGGCCCCTGAGGGTTGGGCAGGTAAAGGGGTGGAGGCTACTTGAGTTGGGTTGAGTTCCTGGACTCACAGGGAGGTTCTCTCTGGATGTGGTCTTGGGCACCTGGGCAGGGACTTGGCAGGTGCTACTGTTGCTGTGAGGCTGCTGCTGGGTTAGAGAACCTGAGGGAGGAGCAGCATGCGACCCAACCAGTTTGGAGAGGTCTTTTACTGCCAGGGAGCCTGCCTGGGTCCTGCGCATGTGCCCTGGGAGCCACCTGGGGAGGGGAGATCAGGGCTCACAGCTCAGTCTGGCTCTGGTGACCAGGCTGCCCTCCCTGGCTCCTTCCTCAGTGCCACCAGGACTGGCACAGGCTGGACTGTGGGGTCTGGGCAGGCTTGACTATCACCGTTTAACTGGCTCTGATTGGCAGGAGTATGTGTGTGTGTGTGTGTGTGGCAGAGAGCGATAAGGAAGCTTACAGAGGGACCCCCATGGGCCTCTTTCACCGCCTTCAGGACCCACAAGCTTCACCTTAGTCAGCTCCTGCTTCTTCTTTCCTGATTCCTGACTCAACACTGGCTCTGCCTTCCTGCTCCACAACAACCCCTCCTCCCCCAGGCTGATCCCATGGTGCTTCCAAGTCTTACTCTTTGCCTCCCCAATTTTCCTCCTCTTTCGCTCACTGCCTGCTGCTCCTGGGCCAGGGGCATCCCAGCCCCAACCTTCCAGACTTCCTACCCTACCCAGGGGTGGGGACAAGCTCGGAGCTCCTCTGGCCAGTGCAGAGGGTGGGGTTCACTGGCTGACTCCCTGTCTGAGCCTGAGCGGCTGCAATAGCATGGGCGGCTTATAGAAGAGGCCCAGCCCCCTGCCTCCCCTCCCTTCCCCCAGGTATAAGAGCTGAGCTCAGGTGAGCTGGCTCCTCCAGTCCTGTCTCCACGGCTGCCAGCAGGTAAGGAAACCCAGGGCTTTTCGCTCAGGTCCCTTAAACTGCCCTGATCTTGTGCCATGGGATGGGCTGGGGGCTAGGGTCCTGGAGGGTAGTGGTGGAGGGTATATGTTTCCAGTACAGGCAGGTGCGAAGAGTGAGGCTCAGATGGGGTCCTGGGGATTTCCTTTTCACGCATGGGCTCTTACGTCCTGAAGCCTGGGCAGGTGCCAAGGCTGTGTGGAGTCCTCCCTGACCCTCTGGTTGAGGCACACACTACCTGGAGTGGAGTTGTGGCAGGGGTGAGGTGGGGTGGGTGGAAAGCCCTCTCCTTAACTGAGGCTCCCCCTCCTCTAGGCAGATCATGAACCATCAGCTCCTCTGGGGCAGACTGTAGGACAACAGAGCTCTCACCAAAGGACCAAGCAGAGTGGGCACTATGGGACAGTGCCGGTCAGCCAACGCTGAGGTGGGCACACCTCTCTCTTCCCACACCGCTCTCCTCTGCTGCAAGAGCTGATGCTGCCGCTCACTTCTGCTCCTTCTTCTGGCCTTACACCCCAGACTGGCCAGGGAGGCCCAGAATTCCCCCCACCGTACCCCCCTCCCATGCCCACACAGGGTGATGCAGATGGAGTCCTCCTGGGAAGAAGATGCCTGGGCACTTGCTGGGACCTGCCCTGCCTTGGGGTGGGAAGAGGGGGTGTTGGAGGTGGGGGTGGCGGGAGGGGAGCCTTACTCAACTTAAGGCTCAAGGCAGAGGCCACTGTAGCCTGGGGGGTTGGAAGAAAGGGTTCTGGCTCTGGAGTGGGCAGAAGCCTGTGAGCTTTCCAGCTGTCTCCTGCCATGTTGGGGAACCAGGTGTCATGGAGTGAATTGGATGGTGTCCCCTACCCTCACTTCAGGATGCCCAGGAGTTCAGTGACGTGGAAAAGGCCATTGAGACGCTCATCAAGAACTTCCACCAGTACTCAGTGGAGGGTGGGAAGGAGACACTGACTCCCTCCGAGCTCCGGGACCTGGTCACCCAGCAGTTGCCCCACCTCATGCCGGTACTGAGGGAGTGGGTCCTGTCCCAGCCACCCAGTGTCCCCTGTGCTTTGAGACCTTGCACATACAGGCCCTGGTGTTGCCCAGCCCTACCCTTGGCCAGTGCCAGGCAGGCTGAGGTCCTTTGCCAGCCCCTGGGCAGGGTGGGGTGGGAGGGTCTGAAGGTGCTCCCTGACTGAGCCACGTGTGATGTCTTCTCACCCCACCCCCAGAGCAACTGTGGGCTTGAAGAGAAGATCGCCAACCTGGGCAACTGTAATGACGCTAAACTGGAGTTTGGGAGTTTCTGGGAGCTGATTGGGGAAGCCGCCAAGAGCGTGAAGCAGGAGAGCCCAGTGTCGGGAAGTTGAGGGTCTCCCCATGCAGGGCTTGGAGGAGGGAGGGTGCTGGGACAGGGGATCTTGAGACTGTGAGCCTGGGAATCAAACTTCTCTCCCTGTCCCACACTACCCTGACCTGGCCTGTATCTCTTTTTCTCTCTACATGGGAGGGGAGTGGGGAGGGGTCCCAGCAGCCTTCCCCAGGGGCTCTGGCTCCTGCAGTGTCTCTGTGGAGGGAAACTGGAGGGTGTGGGGTGGGACAGGGGCTGGGGATGGAGAAGGAGGGACACCCAGGAAGAGTGGAAGGGCCAAGTAGTGGTAGTGGGGAAGGGAGGAGAGGAGCTAGGCTGTGGGAAATGGTTGGAAGCCAGGGGCTGGGCATGTGGCTGGAAAGATGGTACTCAAAAGTGTCTCTGAGAACCTACCCTCCTAGCCTCCTGGTTGTCTGCCTGTCACCACTCCTGCCCCAGGTCCTCCCAGGACTCTGTCCCTGGGGCTGGGCCAGGAAGGCTGGGAGGTGGAGGTGGGGAGAACAGGGTGGGAGGACAGCATGAGGAGGGGATTCCTCAGGGTGCTTGGGCATTGACACAATGATGGTTGTTTTATTATATTTGATTAATAAAAAACATAGAAAAAAGTAAAAAAATGTTGTTTTGATTCTGTACTCCCTCCCTGAAGTTCTGTGGATGAGGGGCTGGGCAGGACAGAGGTGGTAGTGGGAATGAATTGGGACTCACCTTTCTTTTGCATCTGGGTGAACAAGGGTGGGTCCAGACCCCACGGGTGGGAGAGCTGGTCCTGTCTGAGGGGCGGGCTGCTCTTGGGCCTAGGGCTGGTCCTCTGGGCACCTCTGAGAAGGGTATGAATCCCAGCTCTGCCACATTCTGTCTTTGAAACTCTGAGAGTGCCCTGGAGTATAAGTTTCCTTACCTGTGAAAAGGGGGTATGAATAGATTTCCTTCATGGGCTGGTTAGCAGGATGAACAGGAGGCAGGTGCCTGTGAGCTGACGTCAGTATTGTTGGAGAGGGCAGGAGAAAGGGGGTCTCCTCTCTGGGGCCAACTGTCACCCCAAGACATGGGCAAGTGGAGCGGGCTGATCTCTGTTTGGGTACTCAGGGAAAGAGTGAGGAGTCCCCGGGAGGAGCCTTTGGCTGCAGCTGCGTGAAAGAGGTCTTAGAGATGGGTGGTGGGAGAGCTTTCTGTCAGGCTGGACTAGAGATGGGGGGCTGGGAGCCAGCTCCTGGCACTGAGGTGTACCTCCTGACCCCCAGAGCCCTGTGGAAATCAGGTAGGATTCCTGAGTCCCAGCACCAGTGAAGGTTTCCCGTGGCCAGCTGGGTTGACCCGCGGTGCTAACTGAACCTGTCAGTGGGGGGCTCCCCCCAGATCCAGGTGAGAAAGGCAGGTGACAGTCCTTCCCTTCTTGCCCTCTGCACCTGGTTGCTGCTGCTGCTGCTCAGGGCCTTTGCAGTAAGGAGGGTGGGGTTGGGGGAGTGCCAGCTTTCACCACTCCCTCTGGGGTGGGGGTAGAGGGGTGTGAAAAAAGGTGTGTATCCCTTTAACAAGGGCCCAACCCCAGGGCCAAGTCAAGAGGGAGCTCAGTCACTATCTTCCCACCGAGCCAGCTCAGCCAGGCGGGCCCGGGAGGGAGTAGGACAAATTCTGGGAGTGCAGCGGGGAGGAGTCCTGGCCGGGCTGAGCTCAGGGAGCTGCTTGGCAGTGCCAGAGCCCAGGCCCCAGAGCCCTGCTGAGAGGAGGTGCGCTGTGGAGGCAGGTGAGCACCCGGAGTCTGCCTTGGGAGGGACCCCTCTGGCTCTGGAGGCCAGGGGAAGGGGCAGTGAGGGTGACGAGGGAGAAAGGGGCCTATTCTAGTCGGGGCAGGAAGGTTTTGTTAATTATTAACTTCCCCCCAAGGCCAGGTTGGGAATGGGGGAGTCCTGGTTGAGTTGGGGGTTAGGAGAGGCCTTTTCAAGGAAAGAACAGGATGGTGAGACCCCCTGCTTCTGGGCAACAGCTCTCTGGGCTCCTCTCCAGGGGCCGGGCCACTGGGCAGAGCATTCAGGAGCCTTGCCCGCAGTGCTTGGTTTTCCCCAGGCAGAAAAGAGGAGATACTGGCTGGTGGTGGGTGCTGAAGGGGGTCAGACACTGGACACAGGCCTCTCTGGGTTCTAGGAGGGCCCAGGGAACCTGAGAACCCAGGGAGGGGAGGCAAGGGCTGGAGTGACCTCTCTTCTACCTCACCACTGAGGCAGGTCCCCGGAAGCAGGGCCCCATTGTGTTCTGGGAGCTGTTCCTTGGGAGGGACCTGGGTGAGGCCTTGGGGAAGCCTGGGAACTCCCTGGGAGAGGAAGAGGGAGGTGAGGGAGAGGGGCCCCCTGACTCCTCAGCCCTGAAGCTTCTTCTGCTTAGGATTCAGGCAGGTCGTGGCTTGATGGCTGTGCTTGGCAGAGCTACCAGGCACTGTGGGAGGCTGCCCGGCCAGCCGGCCAGTTGTGGGGGTGAGAGCAAGGGGGGTGCTGGGGATCTGGCCACCTACTATAAAGCACTCTGTGTTGGTGAGTCCAGGGGAGCTCTATGTGTGTGTGTGTGTGTCCACTCCTAACTCTTCCAACTTCACTGGTCTGTACAATTTTTTTGAGGAGCTGGCTCCTTGTTCCAAAAGCAGGAGCGGGTGAAAGGGAAACTGGTTTCCCAGGAAGAGGAGCTTAGGAATGCCTGTGTTTCTCTGTATGGTGTGTGAATTAGATGCAGGGAGTCCTGTGAGGTGGGGAGGGCTGAGGCAGGTGCACCTGTGTGAGCCCTGAGCCCCTCGTGGAAATGGAAAATAGAAGCACGAGAGGGAGGCAAGCACAGAGCTATTGAGACTTGGGTGGGTTTGAAACAGCCCTGCCAGTGCAGATAGCGGTGCCAGCTGAGCTGAGATCACATCAACTCTGTGTGTGGAAGGCAGATGGGACCCACATGGGAACCTGGAAGGGAATGACACAGAGAATGAAGACAGCAATGGACAAGTGAATGAATGAGTGTGGGAGTGAACCAGTGCATGAACAAGCAAGCAAAGGAGTGGTGGAGAAATGAGCACACGGGTTTGAGGAGGGTAGAAGGGGCAAAGAGAATGCCACTTGTTGGCTTGAAAGTGGGTGCGGGGTAGAGGGGTCCAATGACACATTCCAATGCTTGGGAGCAAGCTATGACTTAAGCATGTTGTGGCAAGAGATGAGCTTTGCAGCGTTCAGTGGTTGGGGACTAGGGAGGTGGGTGGGTGGCTAGCAAGCACTTGGGGAGGTGGAGCTCAAAATCTGGGGGTGGGAGGGTGGGGCCGGAGTGGCTGGGATCCAGGGGCATGGTGTCAGGGCAATTTGGGCTTTTGGAGCAGTCAGCAAGCTGGACAGAGGTGGGTGGAGTGGAGGTGAGAGCCTCCTGGTTGCTCAATGATGAATCAGCCGAGGAGACAACAAAGAGAATGTTGCGGGTGGGGGCAGGAAGGCCCCTTGAGGGAGAGGTGGTCTCTCCATTCCCTCTTTTTTTGGAAGGCTCCCATATCCACCATCGCATTCCCCTCCCCCAGGCCAGGATCCGCCCATGGCTAAACCAATTGCATGAACCAATTCCTGCCCAACCTTGCTAGGAAGGGACTTTTAGGGCAGTACCTCTGCCCATCCCTCCCGGGTTTAGCTGGTGGGGAGGACAGGGCAGGCCTGAGGAGCAGGTGGTAGTGGGATGGGTAGGGTGGCAGAGCCTGTCTCCTGGTCCCCCAGGGGAGGGAGGGAGGAAGAGGGTAATGACACCTTGTGGTCCCACCTTGATCATCTTCCTCAGGGTCCAGATGGTTATCTTCATTCTTGTCCACTCGAGGAGGAGCAGCACGTGGGGAAGGGAAGGGCAGGTTAGTGGGAGGAGAACTGGGATGGGGAAGGACTGCAACACTGAGATGCTGATGCTGCCTCTCTGGCCACTCTGGAGAGCAGGCAGCTGCATCGTCCCTGTGGGAGCTCACCTTTGGGCGCTGTCAGAGGCCAGGTGGGCAATGTGAGGAGATGACCTGGTGTTCAGGAATGGCAGGAGGACACTCCTCTGGCCAGAGAAGCAGACCCCAAGAGGGAGATAGCAGGAGGGGGCACTGGCCCGTGGACGGAGGCTCTACCGGAACACGCATGTCTCTGTCTCTTTCCCTTGCTGTTTGCCATAGGACACCTCAACAGCCAGCAAGGGTGGGATGGTTAAAGGAGGGGGTGCTTCTCTGAGTTCTGCCTACCTTCCACTCCCTGGTAGGGAGTGGGCTTGCCCAACCCTTCTTGACCCAACCACCCCCACACCAGGGCAGCAGAGCAGCCGGAACACTGGTTAAAAAAAATGCTTCTGCCCTTTCTTTGTGAATGAATGGCAAAACTTGCAGCATGCAACCCTGTAAAAAAAAGGTGGTTTCCTATAGTTCCGGGAGCAGCCTCATCCTCCTAGCCACAAACCAGAGTGGTCAGGCAGGGAGAGGAGGGTAGGATTTCCCACCAGAGGTGCCCGCCTGACCCCTTTGTCTCCAGTTCCCCTTATTTTGGCAGCCTCTCTCCTAGTCTTCTTCTTCCAGAAAAAAAAGCTGCCTTAAAGAGACTGTTCAACGAGGTGGTCAGGGACTTTGGTTACCAAGTGTCAGGGATGCAAGGAGGCAGCATATTTAGGCAGCATGCACCATGAGCAGGGCCCTGGGCCAGGCCGTGTGGATGGGGGCAGATACACAGCTTCAAAGTGGGGTGAGGCTGTAGAAACAGTTGTCCCCATGTCTGCGGGTGCAGCTGAGAAGACACAACAGCTGCCTGTAAGAAACACTGTGCTTGATTCAAGAAATGAGGCCAGACCCAGAGGACAGCGGTCACATCAGTGAGAGGGCCACGGGCCGTGGGAGTCAGGGAGCATGGGTGCAGGGGCAGGGGTCAGGCAGGCTTCCAGCAGAAGGCCTGGCTCTGGCAGGACCAAGTGACAGGCAGGCTTCCACTGGGGAGAGAGGGCAGGTGGCAGTGGCATGATGGCTGGGGCCTGACCAGGCCCACATGGTGACTGTTGTCCCTGCTGCGTGTGTCCGCCTCCTCTGGCCAAGGCCAGCTGATGAGGGCAGCTGGAACTCATTCCTGGGCCTGGGGGTGGGAGGGGAGCCTGGTTTGCCCGGGTTGATCTGGGGGGGCTCTGGGCATGGGCGGCGACTCACAGACTAGATCCGCCTGCTCCCCTCATATCCTGTTGTTCAGGAGGCTGGCTGCATCCGCTTGCGCTTGCCTGGTTGTGAGTGCCTTTTGTCCTGGGCTGAGGGGGTGACTTGTGTGACTTCTGGCAGCTGCAACTGTCATCAGGGGCTGTCAGCAGCTGGGACAGAACCAGGCCTGGGCTCCTGCTTAGGTAATGGCATGGCGGGGGGTATGGGGTCGGGGTTGCCCATGGGTCCCCCTGTATATTTAGGGGTGAACACGAAGGAGGGGAGGTTGGAAGGGTGTGATGGATCGGGTGTGGCGCAAAAAATCTGATTTGATGAATTAAACCTCTCTTGATGATTTTAATCTCTCCAGGGAGGGGCACAGGACAGCCATGGCTTGAGACCCTGGACTCCCTGTCCGGGAGCCTGGCCAAGGGTTGCTTCCTGCCTCAACTGGGAGGGTGTCAAGGATTCTACCTCCCTCTTGTTGCCTGGAGCTGGGGTCTCCTTTGGTGCTGAGGTGGGGAGCCAACCCCCTTCCCCATTTTCCCTTGGCTTTTCCCAGCAGGTCCTGTCTCTGCCTGCCCTCAGGGTGGGGACTAGTGGAGGTGGAGGGGCCAGGTGTGGAGCAGGGAGGTAGGGCTGGGCAGAGACCATCCTTCCCTTCCCATGAGAGCTCCTGCTCTCACCAGAGCTCTGACAAGCCTGGTGCCTGGGGCTGGGGAAGGGCTGCCAAACCTGCTGAGGCAGTTGGTAGAGCTGGAACACCTGCCAAATAGTTCTCATTCCAGGGCCCACCCCTGGTGGTGGTGGTGGTTGGTGGGACCCTATGCTCTGGTACCCCTGTCACCTTCTCCCTTCGCAGGCCTGGAAGTGGTGGTGGGGGCACGCCAGGGACTCAGGTGGGCATGGGGGAGGAGGCTCTGTGACCTGTGGAGTCTCTCTTCATCTCCCCTGTTTGCTTATTCAGGAGCAGTTGCTGCCCAGGCCCTGTGGGAGGTGAGCCAGCACCATGGCTGAAGGCTACACAGAGCTGGAGAAGGCGGTGGTGGTCCTGGTGGAGAATTTCTACAAATATGTGTCCAAGCACAGCCTGGTCAAGAACAAGATCAGCAAGAGCAGCTTCCGCAAGATGCTGCAGAAGGAGCTCAACCACATGCTGACGGTGCGTCCCCTGGCGGCAGGCCTGCCTGTCCTGTCAGCCTTCTTCCTCGGAGGAGGCCGCTGCCCTTCCGTCACCCCATCCCAGGCTCCCTTGGTGGGTCTCTAGCTTCTCTTACCTGGGGTGCCCAGGTCTAGCCACTGAAAGCCCGATTTGCAATTTCTTTCTTTCTCTTTCTTAAACAATAGTAAGAATTTGTCATAACAAGGTTCATTTTAAATTGTTTTGTTTTAGAAGAGCCAACGTGATGGCTCAACTGGCTAATCCTCAGCCTGCAAGTGCTGGCATCCCATATGGGCGCTAGTTCGTGTCCTGGCTGTTCCACTTCCATCCAGCTCTGTATTTATGGCCTGGGAAAGCAATAGAGGATGGTCCAAAGCCTTGGGACCCTGCACTTGTGTGGGAAATCCAGAGAAGCTCCTGGCTAATGCCTTCAGATCAACTCAGCTTCAGCTGTTGTGGCCCTTTGGGGAGTGAACCAGAGGATGGAAGTTTTTGTCTCTCCTCTCTATAAATCTGTCTTTTCAATAAAAACAAAATAATTTTTAAAGAAAAATATTATTATTTATTTATTTGAAAGGCAGAATTCCAGAGAGAGGGAATAGCAGAGGCAGATTTTCCATATGCTGGTTCCCTCCTCAAAAGGCCACAAAAACCAGATCTCGGGCCAGGCAGAAGGCAGGAACCTGGAACTTCTGCGTCTCCCATGTAGGAGACAAGGTCCCACCGCCTGCTGCTTCCCAGAGGGCTTTAACAATGAGCTGGATTGATAGTGGATCTGAAGCTTGAACCTGCCCACTTTGCAGCTTCTTGCATTTTCCAAGGTCAGTTGCCAGATCCCTAGACTCTACCTAGGGTCTGTCTGGGGCTGACTCTGGTTCCTCCCCAGGATACAGGCAACCGGAAGGCAGCAGACAAACTCATCCAGAACCTGGACGCCAACCACGACGGGCGCATCAGCTTCGACGAGTACTGGACCTTGATAGGCGGCATCACGGGTCCCATCGCCAACCTCATCCGCCAACAGGAGCAGCAATGCAGCAGCTAGAGGACCTCGGGCCGCCCCAGCCTCGCCGCGAGCCCTGCTCTGTCCCTCCCCTCCCGTGCAGCCCCAGGCCCGCCTCAGCCCTCCCCGCCGGTCCACCCTGCAGACCTACCCTAGTCCGTCCTTGCTGAACTGGGTGGACATGCCTCCGTGAATCTCAGTCCCTGGAGCCACCAGGCGCAGAGTGCTCCCCAGCGGGCTCTCCATGCTGGCCCGGGATCTCTGGAGGTCAGCCCCTGCGCCCTCCCAGCGTCTGACTGTGAGGTCAGCTTGGGGCCGCTCTCTCTTCCTCTGGCAGTGGCAGCAGCCGCGGCTCCCCGTCCTGTGAGCACTCCTGGGTGGGGAGGCCCTTCTGGGGCTCGCCTCCAGCGGCCTCTCTGCTCAGCCACCCACACCATGGAAGTGAAGGCTGGGTTTGGAGCTTGTATCCTCCTCCCCACACTTTGTGACGGTCATTAAAACCTTCCCACTTCTCAGAGTTCTGGTGCTTTGGTGAGCTTTGCCCTGGCAGTACAGGGTAGGGCTTGGGGTGCGTGGAGGGTGAGGGAGTCTCACAGGGAAGCCCTAAAAGGAAGCAAGAAAGAAGCCAGAACCTCCCAGATCCCAGCGGGAGCTGTCAGCTCTGGTCCAGCAGCTCCTGGCCACCTGATCCACGAAGGGCCAAAGGCCACTGTCACCCAGTCCAGGCCCTCATAGCCCAGACTCTGTTTCAACACTTAGGCACACTACAAATCTCCTTTGTTTTTGGGTCCCAACTGTGATTCAGTGAGAGAGGGACCATGGGGTTGTGAATTCTCATCCACAGAACTTTGCAGAACTTGGTTGAGGGCTGGAGAAGTAGGGGTGCAAGGGAGAAGAGGCATGGGAGGCCATGACCTGGGGCTCCTTAGGGGTCAATGCCAGGTTCTCTCTTTCTTCCCTGCCTCTGTGCTGAGAGAGGTCCCAGGAGGAGGACAGGAAGCTGGCAGGAAATCCAGCCTGCAGACCGTGGGCTTGGTCATTTCCACTGGAAGGCAGTGCACCCTCCAGCCTGCAGACCGTGGGGCTGGTCATTTCCACTGGAAGGCAGTGCACCCTCCAGCCTGCAGACCGTGGGGCTGGTCATTTCCACTGGAAGGCAGTATACCCTGAGACACACAAGCATCCACTCACAGACCTGAGGCTGCTGTGACCTGCAACAACTGGCAGCCAGGGTGTCGTGGGGACTCCTTTCCCACCACCTCTCTCAGTAATCACCCCCAGTTAAGGATGAAGTGCGCATTGTGCAGAAAATGTCTATGCTGACTTCACTGAAAGGCACAAACATATTATCTATCCAGCCATCTATCCATATATTTACTTATCTTTCATATTCTCTTTTATCAATCATCTGGATATCCTTCTATCATCTATCTGTCATTGTCAACCATCTATCCATCTATGCATCTATATCTGCCTGTCCCTATTCATCCATCTGCCATCCATCTTTATCTAGCACGGTAGAAACACACAGCAGAAATCTCTCTTGAAGTGCCCACCACAGTGTTGTTAACTGTGTTCCATTGTCCCACCACAGATACCTTCACCCTTTTCATCCTGCACGCTGTAACTCTGCCTCCACTGAGCAACTCCACTCCCCCTCACTCCAGAAACTACTGCTTTATTTATTTATTATTATCATCATCATTTATTATTTGTTGTAAGATGTACTTATTTACTTGAAAGTCAGAGTTAGGGAGAGACAGAGAGAATTGTCCATCCACTAGTTTTACTCCCTAAGTGGCTGCAGCGGCTGGAGCTGAGCGATCTGAAGCCAGCAGCCAGGAGCTTCTTCTAGGTCTCCAATGTGGGTGCAAAGTGCCAAGGCTTTGGGCCGTCCTCTGCAGGAAACTGGATGGGAAGTTCAGCAGCCAGGACACGAAGACGTGAACTGTATGGGATGCTGGAATTGCCAGCATCACAGGCTGTCCTAACCCTGCTATGCCACAGTGCTGTACCCAACAGAGAAATCTTCCACCTTCACACCTTAAGGCTGTAATAATCAGACTGAGTCAGGCCAAAGCCAAGAGCCCAGAATTTAACTCTGGGTTTCCTATGCAAGTGTCAGGGACCTGACTACTTGAACTATTACCTATGCATCCCAGGATTGCATTAGCAGAAAGCCGGATTAGAAGTGGGACTGAAATTAGGGTCTGGCGCAATGGTGTAGTAGTTAAGGTCCTCGCCTTGCACATGCTGGGATCCCATTCGGGCACCGGTTCTAATCCTGGCGGCCCCGCTTCCCATCCAGCTCCCTGCCTGTGGCCTGGGAAAGCAGTCGAGGACAGCCCAAAGCTTTGGGACCCTGCACCTGGGACCAGGGAGACCTGGAGGAAGTTCCTGGTTCCTGGCTTCGGATTGGCTCAGCTCCAGCTGTTGCGCTCACTTGGGGAGTGAATCATCGGACGGAAGATCTTCCTCTCTGTCTCTCCTCCTCTCTGTATATCCGCCTTTCCAATAAAAATAAAAAATAAAAAAGATCTTAAAAAAAAAAGTGGAACTGAAATTAGCCACTGCAGCACAGGAAGCAGGGATCCCAAGTGGTGACCAAACTCTTGCTTCTATTTTACATTTCTGATTTTCAAAATTTATTTGAGAGCTGGCACTATGGTGTAGTGGGTAACCTTCAATGTTGGCATCCCATATCAGTGCCAGTTCATGGTCTAGCAGCTCCACTGCAGGTCCTGCTCCCTGCTAAATGGCCTGGGAAAGCAGCAGAAGATGTCTCAAGTGCTTGGACTCCTGCAGCCATGTGGGAGACCCAGAAGAAGCTGCTGGTATTGGACTAGCCCAGCTCTGGCCATTATGGCCATTTGGGGAGTGAATCAGAAGATGGAGGATTTCTTTCTGTCTCTCCCCATCCCCATCTGCAGCTCTGCCTTCCAAATAAATAAATACATTTAATAATTTTTTTATTTATTTGAGAAGCAAAGGGAGAGAGACACACAGAGAAACACGAGACAAGCTGCCCTCCTGTGGTTCACGCACCAAAGGCTCACAGTGGACAATCTGGGTGGGGCTTGAAGTGGGGGTTCAGGATGTCAGTACAGGTCTTGCACATGGGTACCAGGAACCCAGTTACTGACACATCCCTGCTGCCTCCCAGTGTCTGCATTAGCAGGAAGCTGCAGTCCAGAGCTGGAGCTGGACCTCAAAACTAGGTACTAGGTGCTTAATCACAGGCCAGATGACTGCCTCATTTTAATCTCTTTTTGCCATAGCAGCTACACCATTTTATAGTCCTGTCAGCAGAAGTCATAGGAATTGCAGCATCCTATCAGTTGTACTTAGATTTTTCTGGGTTTTGGCTTGGACGGTGCCCATCCTAGTAAGTATTAAATGATATCTTATTTGATAGGTGTTTGGAGGTCAAGGTACTCATGACAACTGAGATGGATTAGTAACAGTTTATGGCAAAATTTTTCTTCATAAAAGAAGAACTTTTCTTTTTAAAGATTTGTTTTATTATCATTGGAAAGTCAGATATACAGAGAGTAGGAGAGACAGAGAGGAAGATCTTCCATCCGTTGATTCACTCCCCATGCAGCCACAATGGCTGGAGCTACACCGATCTGAAGCCCGGAGCCAGGAGCCTTTTCTGGGTCTCCCACATGGGTGCAGGGTCCCAAGGCTTTGGGCCGTCCCTGGCTGCTTTCCCAGGCCACAAGCAGGGAGCTGGATGGGAGGCAGGGCTGTTGGGATTAGAACCAGCACCCATATGGGATTCTGGTGCGTTCAAGGCGAGGACTTTCGCCACTAGGCCACTGCACTGGGCCCAAATAAATCTTTTTTAAAAAGAGATGATTTTGCTTTTTCCTCTCCAACTAGGATGTTTTTCTCCTCCCTTTTCCTTGTCTAACTGCTCTGGCTAGGACTCCTAGTGCTTTGTTGGATACAAGTGGTAAGAGTGGACATTCTTGCCTATGTCTGTTCTTAAAGTATGAGATTTGAGTTTCTCACTACTGAGCAGGATACTAGCTTGCCATGTTCAACCTCCAGTAGGTTGAGATAATTTTCTTCTGTTCCCAGTTTTTTGTTTTCAAGGTTTATTTTCTTTTAAGATTTATTTATTTATTTATTTATTTATTTATCTGAAAGCAAAGATACACAGAAAGACAGAGAGAAAGATCTTTCATCTGCTGGTTCACTCTCCAGATGGCTGCATTTGCTGGAGCTGAGCTGATTTGAAGTCAGCTCAGTTTGGAGCTAGAAGCTTCTTCCGGGTTTCCCACAGGGGTGCAGGAGCCCAAGGAGTTGAGCCACCGTTCAGAAGGAAACTGGACTCAAGTGGAGCATCTGGGACATGAATTTGCACCCATGTGGGATGCCAGCACCTCGGTATAAGATTAGTTGGCTGCAGCATGGCACTTGGCCCTTCTAGCCTCTCAAATGTTCTTACCATGACGGAGTGTTGCTTTGTCAAATGGTTTTTCTACATCAGTTGATGCCATTATGGTTTTTCAAATTCTTTTTTCAGTTAATGTGGTATAGTAAATGTATTGATTTTCATGTGTTGAACCATCCTTGCCTTCCAAGGGTACAGCCCAGTTGGTATATAATACTTTCAATGTGCTACTGAATTCAGTTTGTCAGCATTTTCTTGTGGGGTTTTGTGCTAATGTCATCAGAGATTTCAGACTGTAGTTTTGTTTTTTCATAGTACCTTTGTACTTTGCGTTGATAATGTAAGCCTGCTAATAAGTGTTCTAAAAAGATCAACTAAAAAAAAAAAAAACCTAAAAAGTTCAAACGTGTTCTCTTCCAGTTTTTGGAAGACTTTGAGAAGGGTTGGTGTTAATTGTATGTTAATGTATTCAGTAAAATTCTTCAACAGAATCATCTGGCCCTGAGCTTTCCTTTGCTGGGAGGTTTTTACTGATTCAGTGTCCTTACTAGTTACAGACCTGTTCAAATTTTTCTAATCTCAGTCTTGGTGATCTTTATGTTTTTAGAAATTTATCCATCTCTTGCAGGCTATCCAATTTATTGGCTTGCAGTTGTTCACAATCGACTACTCTGATCTTTTATATTTGGTAACATCAGTTGTGATGCTTTTTTTTTTTAATTTTAGTTGTTCAAGTTTTCTTTCCCTTTTTAGCTAATCTGGTTGAGGGCTTGCCAGTTTGGTTAAACTGATGCTTGGTTTCATTGATTAAAAAAGATGTATTTATTTATTTCAAAGGCAGAGTTAGAAAGAGAGAGGGATGGGGGAGACAGAAAGGTGGCAGGGCGGGGCGCGGAGAGAGAGAGAGATATGTAGAAGCAGAGAGAAGGAGAACTCTCCCATCTACTCTTTATTCTCCCAGTGGCTGCTCTGACAAAGTGCTGAGCCAGCCCGAAGCCAGGAATCTGGAACTCCACCCAGGTCTCCCACATGGGTGGCAGGGGCTCAGGTACTTAGGCCATCTTCTGTTGTGTTCCCAGTTGTAGAAGCAGAG